ACAATCCAATCACTCCCCTTCCTGAATTTTTAGGGAAGCTGGGTTTGGCATGCAGCCCAACTTTGATCCATTCCAAACTCGAAGAACTGTTCAGCCCAACCAACCCCATCCTGTACTAAGCTTCCTAGGATAGCCTAGCATCGACATAAGGTTGTTTTTAATTAAACCCTCCTGTCCATCATTGGAAACGCACGCTCAGCCTCTGCCCATTGAGGATAACTTAAATATCTTTTTATTTCACCTTAATTAGGATCCAACAACTCTGACTGATGATGTTATTTATGAAAAATCTCGGATCCTCTTGGGCATGGGTCATCTGTTTCTCTATGAGAGTCTGAGAATTCCATTTGTGACGTTATTGAACTTCTATTCTCTTCTCCTCTAGTTTTTTTTTGAGATACTCCGCCAAAATATTGTTTAATGTAATTTTTAAAATCTTTGTATTTTTTAAAATATTAGTTACAAATAAAATTATTTTAAAAAAAGAAGAAATTACATTGTTAAATTCTATTATATATATAAATAATTTACTATATTTTTAACATTTTAAAATATTATATAAAAACTCAATTATTTAAATAAAAAGAACAAATAAAATTGTTTATTCTATTATAATATAAAATATTTTATATAATTAAATTATTAAAATAAGAATAATATATAAAGTTATTTTTGTTAATTATTTCATAAAAATATCAATTATTTAGATAAGAAGATTAAATAAAAATGTTTATCTCTTCTATTAAAATTTTTATATAATCATTTTATAAAAATATATTTTAAAATATACTATATTTAACTATTCGTTAAAAAGATAAATTTTTAAAAAAGTTTATTTTTTATAATAACCTTACAAAAATACTTTTAAATAAAAATAATTATTTCAATAAGATTTTGTATTGATATTGATTTAATAAGAGTTCAAGATAAAGTCTTGATAAGATTTTTGGATTAAATCCTTAATACCTACTTTTCAACTTGTATAATAAAATAGAAAAAGGATGACATTAGAGAATAGTTTGAGAAAAATACTGAAAGAATTTAATAAATCATTCAAAAATTAAGATTGTTTTAAAATAACTAGTTAATTTTAGTAACATGAATTTTTACTGTAGACTGTTAGTTGAATTTTTCTTAGTTTAAGATCTGAAACTTTTAGGATAGGATTAATATAGAAGAATGGTGAAATAATATAGAAAGACCATTATATTGTGTAAAATATAAATGATTTAATGAACTTGAATAGTTAAATTTATAGAAATAATGTTATATTTAAATTTTTTTCTAAATATAAAACTTTGAGATCAAGTTTAGAGAATTATTTTGAAGGAAATCCAATATTATGATGATTTGATAATTAAATGATGAGTAAATGTCAACTAATTTTTTTTACAATTATTATACAAATTTTCTCATTAAATAAAATTCAGTTTCATTCATTTCATTGTATAAAATAATTAATCAAATTTTACTTAGTTCTGAATTTAGAAATGATTTTAGAATTGATTTTTGAAAAAGTTAAAACAATTAAATCTTAAAAAACTTCAAATAATAAAATTTGATGTTGATTTAGTAAATTGTTAGAGAAATATTTCTATCATAACTTTAATTATAATAATAATTAAGTTAGTGATTTTTTTGGATAAAATTTAATTTTTGGATTGTTTTAATAATAAGAAGTTTGATTGTTACATAGATATTGATAAATAAAAGTAAACTTAAGAGAAAAGTCATTTGCATAATATAAATTTAATAATATATTTAAATTTTTGATTATGCTATCAAAATAGCAGTAATAATTGTAGGAGATAGTATCATAGAGCTTATTAAAGACGTATATTTGAATAATAATTAGATCTACAACAAAAGCATCTTAAAAATTGAGTTAATCTTTTAATCCTAATGGATTGATAGGTTAATCTTTAAGTCCTACTTAGAAAGCAAATTAAAGTATGGGATTAAAAAAAGGAAATAATTTAAAATAGTATCAATAAGAGTTACTTAAATTGATGACAAGCAATAAGCAATTATAATCTGGTACTAAAAAGGCCAATATGTCTGATATGATGAGTTAATAAAAGGAATCTAAACGAATATCATCAGGCATAAGTTAACCTTAAAAATCATAAGGCTCAAATAAAATAAGCTTTGTTAATCCAGCAAATTAGATAATAATAATTGTAAATCATGAAAATTAACAAATAAAATTCAATATCGATCCTTAAAAATCAACAGGATGGTTGGAGGAATATCTAAAATAAGAAGTTAAAAAACATTCTATACATCAATATTCTTCAACTGGATCTTAACCTGATGAAAGAAAAGTAACTTGTGGAACAGGTAATGAATCATCAGATTTAGAAATTGTGTCTTTTCACACAGTTGATAAAAATTTACCAATTGATTTTTATTTGTAATAAGCAAATAAAAGTTTAGAAATTTTTAGTGGATAAACATTAAATCTATAACCATTTTATGGAACTCCTTAATAAAGTAAGATAACTCTGAAAGATTTTATATTTGTAAAATGTATAGGAGTTGGAGGATTTTCAAGAGTTTACATGGTTAAGAAAAAATCAAATGGTAAATTTTATGCAATGAAATTAATTGATAAAGAATTCATACTGTAACATAAAAAATAAGGTACGAATTGAATAGATTATTTTTTTAGGTATTGTGTAAAATGAAAGAGATATAATGACAGTGCTTGATCATCCTTTTATAATAAAATTAGAGTATGCTTTTGAATCAAAAAATTTTATTGTTTTTGTATTAGAATTTTGCAGTGGTGGAGAATTATTTTGGTAATTAAGATAAGTGAAAAGAATGACTGAAGATCAAGCTCGCTTTTATTTTACTGAAATTTGTTTGGCTATGTTTTATTTACACTCATTATCAGTTGTTTATAGGGATATAAAACCAGAAAATATATTAATAGATATTGATGGACATATAAGAATAGCAGATTTTGGTTTATCTAAACCAAATATGACTGAAGAAGATTATGCATATAGTTTTTGTGGATCTCCAGAATATATGGCACCAGAAATGTTATTAAAAGTTGGACATAATGTTCAAGTTGATCATTATTGTATGGGTGCTTTACTATTTGAATTAGTAACAGGATTACCTCCTTATTATTCAAGAAATACAGATGAAATTTATGAATCAATTCTAAATGAAGAATTAACTTTTCCAGAAAAATTAAATTTGTCATCAGAAATAAAAGTATGAAATTTAATAATTATTAAAGGATTTACTTTAAGGATTATTATGTAAATAACCTTCTGAGAGATTAGGTGCAAATAAAGGATTAACTGAATTATTAACCCATGCTTGGTTTAAAGATATTGATTTAGTGGCTATTTTATAAAAATAGATTTCACCACCTTTTAAACCTAATCAATTAAAATTTAATTATGATTCAAATGATTTAATGAAAGGTGAATTAGAAACTAGGGAAAAACTTTTAGGAAAATCTGGTCTCTAATAAGAAATAAGAATATTCAAAGCATTCTATTTTGATTGTTATGAATAAAAATAAATGAAAACTGAATAAGCTAAAATTCTATAATAACATTTTATGTTAGTTACTCAATAATAATTAGCTTTGAATTAAAAATTTAAACCTAAAAGAAAAAGTACTGAACCAAAAGAACATTAATCTAAACCTGCATCTCCACAAACTAGAAATCAAAAATAATAAAAATTTAATCCAGAATAATTTTAATCACTTTAAAAAAGGATTAAATCATAGTATATTTTAAATCATATATTAGATAATCATCTATGAGTAATGTATAATAAATTAGTACAATTCCAAGTCCTGCTTAATCTAAATTATAAGGTTTAAATAGAATCATTTCTTAAAATAATTTTTTTGCTGATAGATAAAATACATTACCAACAGGATAAAAAGATACAAATATAGATTATCATTAATTATTATCAAATGTTTCAACCGAGTAAATTTTACATAAAAGAGTATCATCTTTAAAATAAAGAAAAAAATGAATTACTAAAAACAATAAATTAATTTTATAATTTTGAATTTTTCTCTCTATGAATCGAAACAAAGACTTAGATGAACTTCTCTTCAAAAAGAATAATGATTTAAAATAAGATTTAGAGAAACCTCCATATCCTCACATAGATATTACAATAACATCTTATAGTGAAATATCTGATGGAACTCCAAATAAATTTCCAATTAAAAAAGTATATACAGAATAAAATTTTTGTTAACATTAAAAAAAAAGAATACTAACTTAAGAAGAATAAATTCATTAATAAAATCTTATGTAAGCATCTAATTCAATTTTGGAATCTATGACACCATAAAGAATGAATAAATTAATTGATTGGTCAAAGTATAATGTAACACCTGGAGATGGTAAAAATATCTTTCCTCAAGTTTCAGGACCAAGCATTGAGTTTTCAAATGAAAATTCATTAAATTTTAAATAACCGTAAAAACTTAATTTAAACAGTGATATACTCTTAAATAAGTATATTGAAATTGAAGAGAGATTAAAATTATTATAAGCTAAACATAAAGACTTTTCAACACTTGAGACATTAAGAGGTAAAAATCTTTAAATTGCTTCGTAAAAAATTGTTAGTTAGCAAGAAGTTATAAAAGCAAAGGATAAAATTATTGATGAATTAAATTTAGAAATTAAAAAGATGAAAGAAAATGATGTTTAAATTAAAGATCTACTTTAAGTAATTGAATAAAAGGATTAAATTTTAAGTGAATTCAAAAATAAAGTTGATTAAGAGAAAATAATTGAAAATTAAGAACAATAAATTCAAAATCTAACTAACAGATTAAAAAAAGAAATTGAATACAGAAAATAAGATGAAAACATGTTATCTGAAATGAAACTAAAAGAAATTAAAAGATCAAGTGTTTTTGAACACAAAATTAAATGTTAAGCTTGTTCCTAAAGTACATAAGAATTGAAAAATATATTATAAGAATGTTCAATTGAAGATGATCAGAATATTTTAGATGGAGATATGTCAGTACCAATGTAAATTAGAGAAGTAGTTACCCTACTATTAACAAAATAAAGAGAATAAATAGATATAGCATTCTAATAATATGAAGAATAGTTAAAAGAATTATCTGATTAGATTGAATATTTTAAAGAATAAAATAACAATTTAATTGAGGAAAATAATAAATTACAAAATTAATTATAGATTATTTTAAATTAAAGAGGAGAATAAGAAAAAAAATTGTATGAAGAATTTGAAAAAGTAAAAAAGATCAATATCCTTCTCATTTAAGAAAATTAAGAGTTTAAATAATAGTTTTAGTCTCCAAGAAGTAAAGACATAATAAAATCTCTAGATGTAGAGAATTTAGGACATTTCAAATCTATTTAAACTGATAGATCTGGTGTAAACAATGAAATGGGTCAAATAAAATAATAATTTTAAAATCAAATAAAGGATTTACTCTTAAAAATATCAGAATAAGAAAAGTAAATATAATAATTAAAGAATGATTCATTTAGAAATTTATCTTCATCTCAAAAGAAACAAAATTAATTAAATTAAGTTTCATAAAATGAAATGAAATAATAATAACAAAAACTAAAAGAAAAAGATAAAAAAAATATAGAACTTTATTCATAGATTAAATAACTATAGTAGACATAAAAAGATAATGAATAAGTAATTTAAGAATTTAAAAATGAGTTAGAGAAACAAAAAAAGAAACTTTAACTAAAAAATAATGAAGTTAAGCAATTAATAGAATAGAATAAACAATTTTAAGATAAAAATACAGATTTAAACCAGAAGATTCTTCTTCTTCAATAATAATTGATTTAGTAGGAATCTGATTTAAATATAATAAATATTAAATAATCTCCAAATAATAAGAGTATGGAATAAGAGAGAGTGGTTAGTTAATATTTATAATCAAATTTGAATTAGCAATAATTAAATTAATTAGTTGATGAATACAAGAGTTATTAATCAGAATTTATAGATTTGAAACAAGTATTTACAGAGAAACTGAGACAACATGAAATTTTATAAAATGTATTATTAATAATAATAATAATTAGAAAATATAAAAGCTTCAACAAGACAATAATGAATTGTTTTAGCAAAATTAAAAGTTAATAATGGAAAATCAGAGTCATAAAAATGATAAAATAACAAAAAGAATATCTGAAGAAATTACAACAGGAGTAAGATGTTCTGCAGCAACTCGAGATTCTATTAATATAAAATCATTTATTTAATAAGGAGATGAGGAATACTCAAAAAGAAAATAATTAAATATTTTAGATCTAATATAACCTGAATTAATGTCTACTGATGAAACTCTATATATTCTAAAGGAAATATTGATTCGATCTGTAAAGTCTATAGAGTTGATAAAGAAAATATGTTAGATAACTGAACTAAAAGAATTGATATTCATACTTTAATAAGTGGATGAAAAATACTAGAGTTCCAATAAAAAATTGACAAAAGTGATTAGTTGTATTTTAGGAGAAAAAAGAAAAATAAAATATACAAATAGAAGTGAAAAAGCAGATTTCTATAATTCTTGATATGATCTATAAGAGTCAATATTTTTTTTGGAATTTGTTTTCCAAATGATAATTATTTATCTAATCCTGATTTCTAATGAATTAATAATCTACTCTTTCTTATTACTTGAGTCATCAAAATATTTATCGTAAAATTCTTTCTAATCATTTGAATTAACACTTTGTATTGGTACAATGTATTATTAATATTAATTTTCCATAATTTTAATTAAATATCTTGCTTCTTAAAATATCTCTTGATTTATTTGATTTAAATTTGTTTAATCTTGTAGTTATTTTTAAGGAGAATACAATTTGTAGCAAAAGCTTATAATTTTTAAATTATCTTCAAAACTTCTGTCTTAGAAATTAGATAAATAAAAGATGGATGTGATGCTATTCTTTTAATAGTATAATACAAAATATAATACTTTCATTTTTAATTTTGGATCAATCTTAAATTTGTTTATGAAGATGATATTTTTGATTAATATAAATTTAAGATTTAATAGAAACTTACCTCTTATTGAATTTCTTTCTTTGTATATATTGTATATAGTATCTTATTTTTTTTTTCCTCTTCTTGTTGAAATTTATTCATTAATATTTAATGATTATGAAGATCCCTTTTTGACACATACACTAATTCAGCTGGTTTACTTATTCTTTTTTTGTTCTTCTTATGAAGATAATATACTTGAGTTTTCTTGACTTTCCTTTTTTTATTATTATTCACTCATTATTATTTAAATTAACTTAAAGATATTATTTTTCTCTCAAATTAAGAATTTAAAATTTCAATTAATCCTATTCATCTTTAAACCTTTTATTACAAAACTTCAATTTAATTTAATTTTAATTTATTTTATATTATATTATACAAATTTAAGAACAAATTAATTCATTAAAAATTCAATTATTGTTAATAAATATATTTATATCAATACAATCTGATCTTCATTATATATTATCATACTAATTAAAAATCTTAACTTTTATACATTAATTATATTTTTGATGGAATGATATTAGATTAATAATTAGACAAGATAAGATTTACAATTATATAAGAATCTTATTTAATATTATTTTAAGTTATAAAATTTTACTGAATACTAAAGAGTGTCTTAATATTTATGTGTTTTTAAAACTAATTAATGAATGTTAAAAGGAATATAATATTAGAATTAAAAGTTAAATTTAAATATCGAAAATTTAATCATAATTGTAGGAGATGATCCCAATCTGTAGGTTCTTAGATTTTAGTAAATAAAGGATCTATAACAATTTTAAATGCATGATCTATCATTTTTGGTATTAATTCTTTTAATAATGGTGATGATTCTTCCAGACATGGATTAGTATTAATTTCAATAAGCCATGGCTTTAAGTTTTCATCTAACATAAAATCATACCCAAATATTTCAAATGAATATTTAATTTTTTTAAATGTATGTTAAATAGTCATCCAAGAAAAAACAATGATAGATTTAATTTTTGGCAAAACAGATTTAGTAAATTCTCCATTAGTATAATAATCTAATTCTGAATAGGAGATTTAATTTCCTTATTCAAAAAAGCCATAATTTTTAGAATGTTTTTATACAGCATTATTTGTTAAATGAATGAATGCATCTAATTATGTAAGATCAAACATCTCTGAAGATAATCTAGCATAGCCCTAATTAAATATATAAATATCAAATTTATGAGTAACTAAAACCCAAAGTCTAATATCGAATTTTCTTCCATCTAATAAAAATGGTCTTTAAATGTATTTCTGAATGACAAAAGATGAAGATTTAATTTAGCCTTAACTAAATTAATATTCAGAAGTTCCTTAAGTAAATTTTTTAAGTAGAATCTTCAGTTCTTCTATAGTTCTAAAAAATGAGATACCTCTTCCTCTATTAAATTCATTTGGTTTTAATATCTTAAATATTTAGAGCAATTTAATACCCAAATATAATTATTTTCTTCATCTAAGAAACTACGATGCATTTTGGGTTAGATATATTGATTATTGGATTTGAATGGTAAGTTGATTGGATTTTTTTTGTTATTTGAAGGTTTGAATTATTCATATATAGGTGTAAATTCTTTANACAATCTGATCTTCATTATATATTATCATACTAATTAAAAATCTTAACTTTTATACATTAATTATATTTTTGATGGAATGATATTAGATTAATAATTAGACAAGATAAGATTTACAATTATATAAGAATCTTATTTAATATTATTTTAAGTTATAAAATTTTACTGAATACTAAAGAGTGTCTTAATATTTATGTGTTTTTAAAACTAATTAATGAATGTTAAAAGGAATATAATATTAGAATTAAAAGTTAAATTTAAATATCGAAAATTTAATCATAATTGTAGGAGATGATCCCAATCTGTAGGTTCTTAGATTTTAGTAAATAAAGGATCTATAACAATTTTAAATGCATGATCTATCATTTTTGGTATTAATTCTTTTAATAATGGTGATGATTCTTCCAGACATGGATTAGTATTAATTTCAATAAGCCATGGCTTTAAGTTTTCATCTAACATAAAATCATACCCAAATATTTCAAATGAATATTTAATTTTTTTAAATGTATGTTAAATAGTCATCCAAGAAAAAACAATGATAGATTTAATTTTTGGCAAAACAGATTTAGTAAATTCTCCATTAGTATAATAATCTAATTCTGAATAGGAGATTTAATTTCCTTATTCAAAAAAGCCATAATTTTTAGAATGTTTTTATACAGCATTATTTGTTAAATGAATGAATGCATCTAATTATGTAAGATCAAACATCTCTGAAGATAATCTAGCATAGCCCTAATTAAATATATAAATATCAAATTTATGAGTAACTAAAACCCAAAGTCTAATATCGAATTTTCTTCCATCTAATAAAAATGGTCTTTAAATGTATTTCTGAATGACAAAAGATGAAGATTTAATTTAGCCTTAACTAAATTAATATTCAGAAGTTCCTTAAGTAAATTTTTTAAGTAGAATCTTCAGTTCTTCTATAGTTCTAAAAAATGAGATACCTCTTCCTCTATTAAATTCATTTGGTTTTAATATCTTAAATATTTAGAGCAATTTAATACCCAAATATAATTATTTTCTTCATCTAAGAAACTACGATGCATTTTGGGTTAGATATATTGATTATTGGATTTGAATGGTAAGTTGATTGGATTTTTTTTGTTATTTGAAGGTTTGAATTATTCATATATAGGTGTAAATTCTTTAAGAACTTTATCAAGATCCTTTTCTTTTGCATAAAGATCAATAGTAAAAGATAATGGAGTAATATCCCATACATATCGCTTATTGGATTAACAAAACTATTTTAAATTTTTGATTAGATTGCATTTCATAGTAAGTTCTCTATGGTTAGGTAAATGATTAACAATTTAGATTTTGGATTAGCTAAGTGTAGTGTATCTAAAATAGTTATCATTCATATTCCATTAAAAATGAAGTAAATAATTATCTGATTCTTGCCAATTTTTTCTCTTTTGAATAGTGGCAATTATAAGTTTGCTATTATTTCCAGGAGCAACATTGTAATAATAAACAGATGGATTTAATAATGAAAAAGAGTATCTAGGAATAGATAGAAAGGAAGTGCTTGTTTGATTTTAATCTTAAACTTGCTATTGCAACATATAAATTAATTAAATGATAGATAATGAGATGTTATAGAGTGTAATGAATTATAAGAATGTAACAGAGGGTTACTCATATAATGATTTAAGTTAGTTAAAGAATTTTAAGACAATATTATCAAGTGATAAGATATATTTTGGTTAAGTATTTAATTAAAAGAGGCATGGTAAAGGTGTATTATTGTATGGATAAGGACATATATATGAAGGTGAATTTAATAACAATAGAAAACATGGATAAGGAATGGAAATATTTTAATAAAAATAGAGTTATAGTGGTAATTATGTAAATGGTAGGCCAGAAGGAATAGGGAAATTTATATGGGGAAATGGAGAATATTATGATGGAGAATGGTTAAATGGATGTAAACATGGTTATGGAACATGGATTGGTATAAAAGGAGATAGTTATAGTGGATAATGGGCTTATGATAAACCTCATGGTTAAGGAATTCATAAATGGATTAATGGAGAATAATATTAAGGAGAGTTTAAAGAATGTTTAAAACATGGTTTTGGAGAAGAAATATTTTAAAATGGCGATAAATATGTTGGAATGTATCAAAATGGTACACCAGAAGGAGATGGAGAATATTTTTATTAAAGTGGAGCATATTTTCATGGACAATTTTAAAATGGATTAAAATCAGGTTATGGAGAATATAGATCTATTAATTACACATATCAAGGTTATTATTTAAATGATAAAAAGAATGGATAAGGAGAACTAATCTATGCAGATGGTAGTTCAAAAAAAGGAATATTTTATAATGATATATTTGAAAATCAAGAATCAACTAAATCTACGATTATAACATAACCTAATACTAATACTTAACCTATTTTCGATATTCCAAATACTAAACCACCACTACATACATCTTAAACTAAACCTATTTAAGAATTTATATAACCACAATTAGTCAATAAAACAGTTACTATTAAAAGAAATCAATAATAATCTAAACTCACATCATAACTCAATAAATTACCACTTATGAATACTAAAATTCGTAGTAATTCTTGTAGATAATAAGCCTTTGAAACTTAAAGAGTTTTTGATAATAACTATACTAAAAAAAACCATTTTGTAACTAGTAATGAAGCTTCTCCTAAAGCATCATCTATTGCTACTCAAACATTAATAAATAATCAAACCATATATAAAAATTAAAATTAAAAAGAATTCACTTTTAAATTTGATAGCACCGTTGGAAAATTTACTAGCAGAAATGGATTAAAAAGAGTTTAGAAATAGAAACACTAGAATATATCACCTGAAAAGCAAAACTGAATACAATCACTTTATTTATTAATTAATCATTTTAAAACTTTCAACTCTTATTAATTCAGCAATTAATCATTTTAAGGAGAAGTTTCTTCAACTCTTTTCTTAAAAGCTCTTATACAAGCTAATAAAATAACTCCACAAATAATTGCAAATAATGCAAATAAATGTATAGTTGATCTTTTGTCAACAGTATAATTTTCTACCTTTATTAATCCTTTTAATAATGGAACAATTGTTTCAATAGGAACTGGAGGTTCTAATGATTTAGAATAATTTTATAATATGGTTATTTATTCTGCTGTTATTGGTAAAGAATCAGATAAAATATATATCTTTTTACCACAATTCTCATATTATACAAAATAATCAACATCTTTCAATTATTCTGCTAAATCTACTAATCTTAATTAGAAATTAT